GTAAATCCTTGGTGCTTGAAAACTTCACAATTGTTTCTGCAACTACAAGATCCTCTTTAAATATTATTGAATGTTCACTAACGTCCTTTTAAAATTTAAATTTACGAAAACGTTATCTAAGGTCTCAAGAGCTTCAAGTTTTCGCACTAAAAGCACTTTGCTTTTCTTAAATTTATCACATCAGCTTGGTTGAAAATACAGTAGGAGCCAGAGCCAGACGAACAGAAGACGTCTTCACCCGTACGATATTCACATTTGAATGTTTCAATTGGCAAATGCGGCGTCCAACTTTAGTAGCTGAGCGGCCCGCAGACTCGAACTCTGTTTAGCGAAAACGCGCGCAAAGCCACCGCAAACACAGAAAAAGCAAAACCACTCGTCGTCGCCGAACCGGACCGGACGAACCTACCGCCTCGCGAAGATCGCTGCCACATCTTCCTCAATTCCCAAAGAAGCCCGAAGAGTGGCCACAAACCAAAAGCAGCTGCAAAGCCAAACAAAAGCAGGGCGTCTCTGCGACCGGTCCAGCGATCAGCTGATCGCCGCGATCCCGAGAGGGGCGTTGAAGACCGAAGAGAGAGCACAAGTCTTCGGGTGCCGAAGAAGTTAACAGGGCCAGATCGGCGGGAAGAAGCTTAACATTTCTGTTAAGCCATGTAGTAAATGTTGCGTTCGTAGCTGCTATCTCAGGAATTCAATCAGCACCTCGTGAGTGTGAATCTTTTCTGTAACGTTACTTTTGTCTGCTTAATGCTATGTTAAATTCTAGAGAAAGCGAAAATTAATACTATAATTTAAAGCTATGCAGTGTTGTGTAATTATTGGTATATAGTCAAATCAAAATATAGTCACTATTGGTATAAAATAGTCAAAAATGATTAGAAATCTTTCCCCTTCAGTAAAAAATTATAAAATTCTTTAAAAATGTTTCTTAATTAGGCTATTGGTAGCAAATCCAGACTGCATATGCACAGTTGAAGTTCTGCGATGTCAAAACTTGTAAGGAAACTAAATAATTTATTATCAACTGTATTTTTATTTGCATGTTGGTGCTCCTATTCAAATATACATATGTATGTATACACACATGTGTACATCATTGCGTATACGTAATATTCGCAAACACTAGTAATATGATAGCTAACAGGCTTAGCCTCCTTTAAATTGTGTTCCATAAATTGCAACTACTTCAACTCGATTTTCGTCAATCAGCAAGATGACAGTTTGGAAATCCATTAGCTTTTAATAAGGAAGGGGAAGCACTTGTAGGGCTTTTGGACTGGGAGCAGGGAAGTGGGTGCGGATGGTCGATGGATCGATCGCTCGTGGAAGGCATAACAAACAAAATCGCAAATTAAAGATTCGAAATGCTCGCAGTGACGGCTTTTTGACTTGAGGCGTTTCTTGGCTTGTTCCTCGGCTTCTATTTTCTGGCCAGCCGCCAGACAATGGAACACAAGGCAGACAGTTGAAGAGTTGACAGTGGACAGTTTATATTATGATTTTGGGGCAGCGTCTTCGGGGCCCTCCAACTTCAACTCCCAGCCAGGAGTTGCATAATATCGTTGTTTGATTTTTGCTGAATTTATCTGCGTCTCTGTGGCTCGGATGCGACGGCTGCTTCCTTCTGCACACGAAGGCAGATGCAGATGCCGATTCATTGCGCCTGCGATTATGGATTCAGTGTAGCAAAAATGCTCAAATAATGGCAGCCGCAAATATTCCCACGAATCTCCAGCCATGAGGCATCGCGCAGGCAGCAGTAGCTATCCAGCATTGGATCACCGCCGATTGCTGGCGTTTCATGTAAAATTAACATTGGATTCTATTCAAAATCAGAAGTGATGGTCGTAATCACCATCCAGCCGCGCTTCTGCTGCTTAACGTGACTTTAATGGCGAGTTGATTCTGACTTCTAACTGGTTAGTTCATTTCATTAAAAGATATTGTCAATGTTTTCTTGTTTGCCCCTTGCAAATGACATTGAGTCTGGTGCTTTTCTCATTAAAAATAGCAAAACGAGCTGCATGCAATTAAATTGAATTGAAAGCAATAAAAACATAACTTGACGCACCAAATAAACCTTTTCAATAAAGTAGATTTAGTAATATTTAAATTTCAAAATATTTCAAATGAATAAAAAATATTAACTAACACTTTTAAGCTGTTAATAACCAAGTCAAAACGATGTCATTCAAATAAAGGAACATTTTATTGTCCATAAAAATACACCTCTGTATAAATCAAGGACTTAACCTTTGGCGGGAAAAATCAAATCATTGCCCCAACTAAATAGGCCCGTAAGTCAAACAAGCACACTTGGCAAATAAGAAGACAAACCATGCACACAAATATTAACACTCCCTTAGTGAAACTGTGCACATTGAGCAACAACCTTAAAAGGTCGTTTTTGAATTCTGTTGAAAAGTAATTCAGCAAATTCGGTTGGTATAAGTACAGTCGAGAGCCCGGGCAAAGTGTCAAATCATTGTAGAAGTATCTAAGAAGCCATCTAGCCTATATTTAACCCCAAACTATCCATCACAGAAGCATGGATGGTGGGCCCTCGTGCAATCGCGGCGTTGCCTTTGCCTTTTGTGAATTGAAAAACCATTTACCTCCCGTTAATTTTAACGCCCGTTTTCTATGCCAACCCAGTTAGATTGCCACACAGTCGTCGAGCCGAAAACAAAAGCGAGAAGCAGCCGAAATACGTAATGCAAGCGATAATTATTGCCTACAGGCCCCCAAAAACCTCTCCGGACAACCACCAAAAGCCCCCCACCCAAAAAGAAGAAACACAGAAGCCTCCGTGGCCTAGTCGCGCAGCTGATTGAAAAGCGAAGAAGATTTGCATAGAAACGTGCGATTTTCGGCATGGCTAGGGGCCCCAATCGTCTCGGTCTCAGTCATGCTGGGCCACCAAAGGTATCTGGTGGATACGCTGGGTGATGCACCCACACATGGCACTGTCAACGTGCCCGCCAGCCTGAGAACAATAATGGCTGCCATCAATTACTCATCCATTCATGCCGTCATTCATTCGGCATTTGGCCAAAGGCCTCTGTTTCCTCGCGCGAATGCAGATGCCACAATTTGTTGATTTAACTGTTTACTCTTTTTGGAATATCTGTCATATTTCTTTTATTCGTCTAATTTGCTCACATAATTGCCCTTTTCCATGTGAGGAGTCACTGAAATGATGGTCTATGTGGCTGGCAATGCTGCTTCTCATAGTTTTCCTTGACCAAGCCCACATTTGTCAAGATCAATGCTGAAGATAGCCCCATGATTAATGCTCGTAGGTTATGTTAAATGTTTTTATGAAAGAATCCTTGAAAGGTTCTCAGACTTTCTTAATTTTTGTAGCACATGTATTTACCTTGGAACCAAGGCGATATGGAAATGATAATGCCGATATAACTTCACAACAATTTTTTAAGCGAGCATTCCCAACCTGCTTTTTATAACGTATTTCTTGAAAAGATTTTATACATAATAACAATAAATCTTGAATTGACAAATTTGGGTGCAGCTGCATTAAATATAATATACATTTTCGTTCATGGGCTATCTGGAAAAAGCATCTCATCGCATTTTTGGTGCACCTACAGTGTTCTTTATTGGCCGATACTTAAAATCAAGAGCACCAAAAAAACCCACTAGTCAATTAATGACATCAATTTATGTTTCCTTCAACACATATATCAGACGTAATTCGTTAAAGCCGCATATAAATCACAGTTAACCATACAATACAATAAGGTTAGTTAACTAACCTGTTGGTAAGAATAGAACGCCAAACTCACCAGAATTAAGTGCATCATCCATGCGGAATGTTGGCCAAACCAGATAGGCGAGTGAAAAGTAATGGTAATGCCTGAAATCTAAAGTCTCTGAAATCTAAAGTCTAAAGTGGCTGTGCTCCGGTGGCCAATTTATCGCCACTGACAGCTGAACAAACGAAAGTGATATCTTAGCATTCGAACCCAGTGAACAATTGTGTGCTAATGACGAAAGACAAGCGCTTGGCCACCAGGGAAGCGAGCATCGGTACTTATTGCTCGGTACTCGGTTGTGTCAAAGTGCCGGACTGGGTTATAATATGGTCACGGACTGCAGACCGAGGACTGCAGATGCAAATGACACAGAAAAAATGTGATATTTTTTATTGAGCATTTTACAAACGGCACAACAAACCGCAGGGCATGACCTCCGACCGTGCAGAGCCCCAGCCACGAAACCCGACGACGGAGTCTTCCAAAAGGAACCCAATCACGATGGGCCCAATCGTTTTTGTGCATTAAAATGCAACCGAGATTTATGTAAGCCGCGCCACAGTCGCCGAGCTGGTAGCCCAGGAACCCCTCATTATCGATCGATATAGGCGGCCAGACGAGGCAGTCGATGAGAGACTGACTGCCTGAATGGGCCCAGGAACCGCATATAATAACTTGATCACCAGCAAATCATTTATTGTGACACGATCGCCAATTGGGACCCGATAAGCCCTGGCTTGGAAAGAGATTCTCCCCCACTCGCCATTAACTTGTTGTCATGCTGTTTGATTGCCCGGCTTGTCTGCTTTTCCCCCGCTGATTAATATCTCTGTGGGACCTAATTGTGCAGAGATAAAATATACACAGTTCCGCGAATTTCATGATTTTATTATTTGTGTGCTCCACTACTTCGGTATCATAATCTCTATGGGTAGAGCATTTCCTCATCCACTTTGCTGCCATTTGGGTTATGAGTTAACATAAGACACAAGCGAATTGTAGCGTTCGCGTATTTTATTTCTGTATTAAGGGGTTTCACCACTCTAATGGTACAAAAAGTGCCCCAAAATCAATGTTTGTTTTACGGAGTCTGTAAGCTACGATCTTAGGTTCAAAAACCCACGACAATTACAAATTAAATTACAACTTCCTAGAGTCTTAAACATGCGTCTTGTTTACATTGTCATAGCACTCAAACTGAAATAAAGTTTTAATTCATAAGTCAGCCAGCAAACTCTGGGCCGCTTTCTTTCCCAATATAGGAGTCCAACTGCCAACTAAGGAGTGCATTCTTCATAATATGTACAATATCATGACTGCTGGCTCCAGGCAACGATAGAATATGCAAATCTGTAGCAGACGCACTCGCTGGCAGTTGCTTTCCACCCTGATACGTGGGTAAGAATCCGGTGGTCTGCTTGATCAATCGCTGAGACGTGATATTTTTTGCAGTGTGCATTATGGCGTTGACTCATGGAATATCCCTAGGATGGTTCTCGCCCACTCTGCCCACTCTCATCTCGGACAACAGTCCAATTGGAGAACCAATTGACATCAGCGAGGTGAAGTGGTATGTCGGCAATCGAAGTGAATTTAGATGTGAATATAACTGGCATCTTTGAGATTTGCAGGATCGGTGCCGCCTTTGGAATTGGGTCTCTGTGTTGCAATATGGTACTTTGCGTGCCGGTCTCGTATTTTGGAATTAAGAAGTGCATGTATTTCGTGCCCCTACCAAATATCGTAAATGAAACTAATCTCTTTAACGAGCTTCCAAAAGACTATGGGCTCTACTATTTTTACAGATCAATTGGATCTTAATCTACTTCGCAAGCAAATCAGTGTATTTCTATGTGTGTCGTGTGCTTTTAGGATTTTCCGGTGGCACTTTGGTGGTTTGCTTTCCCGTATTTATCGCGGAAGTATCTGACAATAGGTAAGTCATTCTAAAACGCAACTGCGAACAACCGCCTGCTATATCGCATAATATTCAGTCTAGTTTAACCACAACTTTCCTCAAGCATTCGGGGAACTCTAGGCTCTTTTTTTGTGATGACACTCTGTGGTGGCATCACGGTGGGATTTGTGTTGGTCTATTGTCTATCCTACCATGTGCTGCCGTGCGTCGTCATTGTCCTGCCAATTATTTATTTGTGCCTCCTCATTCCTCTTCCTGAGCCGCCACAGGACCTACTGAAACGGGGCCATGAAGAAAAGGCGGAAAGGTCCTTTTGCTTTTACAAGAATTTATCGAAGGATCCAGGCAAAGAGGGCGAAATTAAAGCTGAGTTTGCCAAATTGCGGAATACAGTTCTCGCCAGCGGCTTAACAGAAAAGTTTACTCGTGCAGATTTCTGTAAGTTTGAAATTGATAATATAACAACTAAATTAGGGAACTCTATCCTGTAGGCTTCGCACGTATTAAATCAATTTGTAACAAGTTAAAGCCACGAATTCTTCCGATGACACATCATTATCATAGAAAAACTCGTTTACTTCATAATGACAAAGTTGTATCTTCAATTCAGTTAACAAGGTCTCAGGAAAAGCATTTGGGCTGATCGCCGTTTTGCTGCTCTCCAATCAGATGTCGGGATCCTTTGCCATCTTCAACTATGCGTCGACCATCTTCGAGCAGCTCGGTAGCAGGATGGAACCTGATCTATGTGGCATATTTCTGGGTGTTGTACAGATTTCTGGATTGATCAGCGCCGTTTTCCTGGTAGACCGAGTGGGTCGTCGGCTCCTTTTGATCCCATCGCTGGCGGCAATGGGTCTGGCTGAGCTGGGCGTGGGTCTGCTGAAGTCCTTTGCCTCACAGGACTTTCTAGACCGCAATGGTTGGATTGGGCTCACCCTAATGGGCATTGTGGCTTACACGGCGTCAGTGGGCATAGTGGCTCTTACCTTTGTCATCATAGTTGAGCTTCTGCCCGTTAAGGTAAGCGCGTATACGCTTATTTGTCAAAGGATTTTACCAAAACTCATGGCCTTGCAGATCCGCGCCTCTGGCATCTCCATCAGTATGTGCGGACTCAGTTGCTCCGTGTTCATTGCTCTCATGACTTATCCTGTCCTGATCAACGATTATGGATTGCATGCCGCAATGTATGTGTCGGCGAGTTTCTGTCTACTGGGCTTAGTAGTTCTGGGAATGTTTTTGCCTGAGACCAGGGGCATGAGCATTACCCAATAATGCGCTAATTTCTAAGAAGTGTTAAGTAGAACCGGTATATATAGACTTTACGTAGTCTAGAAAGATACCGATATATTTCTAGCACAAAGCCATAGGTCATTTTAAGATAAACCATTGAAATATGTGTGGATTTCAGGGCGTTTCGGATTCTGCATTCCACCTAATTAATATCTTAATTTCCTCTTGCTGCCATTTTTAAATGAAATATTTTCTAATGATGTCATATACTCTTCCTTTGGAATAAAGATCTTAACTTAGAACACAGCTGTGTGTACATTCAAAAGAGAAAATGTATCGAAATGCATAATAAATGTGTAAATGCAGGTAACTCTAATAAGATTCAAGCACTGTTTGACTTTGCCAATCTCAGGTAAACGTTGTCACTTTACCCATGCAAAGTTATGCAAATTTACAAAGTCTTATTGCTGCTATCCAACAGTTCAACGGTAAGATTAGTCTGAGTTTTTTGAGTGTTTAGTGTTTTTTCAGCAAAATTTACAGACTTCCCCAGACCTCTTCAAATGGGAGCGTTTTGCATTAATCAGCGGTACTACGTTGCGACTACTTAAACTTATCTAATCTGCCACAATTTTACGATCGTAATTATTGTTTACGATAACCAGAAGATTGGGAAGTAAGCTTATCTGCCGTGATTTCCACTACATAAACTCTTGTCACTCCAATTGAGACCCCTCAGTAGACACAAGAGCGCCCAGTGGTTAATTCGGAATCCAAAAGCGGAACATTTTCAGGAGTCCTAGCTTAAATTAGTCAACATGACTTTTGATTCAAGTCCACCGCAGAAGTTGAGTGTGTTTAGTGCGCGGTACCGATGGCAATTTATTGCCACCGTCACGGGTGGGTGTAAAGTACAAAGCGCCGTAGAGCAATTAACTAAAGTTCACTAATCCCAGTGCATATTATGACGCTGACCCATGGAATTGCCGTGGGATGGCTGTCTCCCTCTCTCCGACTGCTCGGATCCGATGAAAGCCCCCTGGGAGTTCCCCTGACCATTACCCAGGCGTCCTGGTAAGCTTGATACCCTGCAAGTGGAAATCCCTTTGGTTGAACTCCTCGATGTTGGCAGGGTTGGATCACTTATCGGCCTAGGCTCGCTGACCGGCAATATAATCTTCGGACTGCTAATCGATCGGTTGGGTCGCAAAGTGTGCATGTATTTTCTGGCCTTGCCCAATTTGGTAGATAAAGTTCCATATGCTTTCAAGGGGTTTCCCAAGAGCTTGAGTCATTTTCGCTTTCTCTTGAATTCGGCAGATCTATTGGATCCTTATTTACTCCGCCCAAGACGTTACGTACCTGTATGCTGGTCGATTCCTGGCGGGAATGTCCGGAGGTGGTTGCTACGTCGTCCTGCCCATATTCATAGCCGAAATTGCCGACACTAGGTAAGTGGTGAGGAACTCCATTCAATGGCTGATAAGCTCAGACTACGTTCATATATTCAACAATATTATTCAAATTCCCGCTAACTCACTTTACTTTTCCATCCGATTTTGATCTAACTTTTGTTGATCGTCAAGATTTAGTGGACAGATAATAAATGATTTCAGGCCCATACCGAATGTAGAACCTAAAAGCCATCCCTTTGCAGGGATCTATTTTGAAGCAGGTTATTACAGCCAGCAGTTTGGTTTATGATGGCCACATACTTTCACTTACACCTTTAAATCCAAGACTTTTAATAATAACCGAAATACAATACATCATTATTTCAGCGTTCGGGGAGCGTTATCGTCCATGGCCATGATGTACGTTAGCATCGGCATGATGGTTGGCTTTATATTGGCCTCGTATCTCTCGTACAATCTGATGCCGTGTATCATAGTTGCCCTGCCGGTGGTGTTTATACTGGCGATTATTGGCTTATCGGAGACACCGCAATATTTGTTGAGACGCGGCCGCGATGACCAGGCCGAGAAGTCTTTCTACTTCTACAAGAATCTGACGCCACCCACTTCCTCCGACAAGGAAGCTTCTAAGCATGACGCGGCCAAAATCGAGTTTGACACATTTCGGCTTCAGGTGCTCAGCGGCGGCGTCACCGAGAGCATTTCTTGGCGAGATTTCAGTGAGTAAGATATGAAATTATTAATAGATTTTATTATATTGCGCCATCTCCGCACTCCCATCTTATGAACATGATTACAGTCAAAATACAGACTATCTATAACAAAGTAAGGTCTGTTTAACTAATTGCGCAACCTTGCAGTAAACGTGCCTACACTAAAGACATTCGGCCTGATCTTTGTGCTGATCGTCTGCAATCAGCTGTCGGGGAGCTTCGCCATATTAAACTACACATCGCACATTTTCGCGGAGCTGGGCAACAATCTGGATCCGAACACCAGCACCATTGTGGTTGGAGCTGCTCAGCTGGTGGGAATCTTCAGTGCCGTGGTTCTGGTGGACAGACTGGGTCGTCGTGTTCTGCTCCTCACCTCGATGGGTGGAATGGGGTTGGGTGAGCTGTCCATTGCTCTACTAAAGTGCTTCGCCTCGGAGGAATTTCTGAATCAGAATGGATGGCTTCCTTTGGTGATCATGTGCCTTGTGGCCTGCATTGCTTCACTAGGAGTTATTGCACTGATCTTCACCATCATAATTGAGCTGCTCCCAGCTAAGGTGAGTGGTTCGGAAAGGGAAATTATTATATCAATAATTGGAATTAGAAATTTCTTAAACCTTAGATCCTAATGTTCCATCTATTTCTATATTTTCCTTACCAATGCAGATCCGCTCCATTGGCACCTCCTTGAGCATGGCCACATTTAGTGGATTTATCTTTGTGGCACTGAAGATCTACCCCACAATGATCTACGACCAGGGCCTGGCGGCCACCATGTTCATGTCGGCGGGCATATGCCTCTTCGGATTCATTGTCTTGGGACTGTTTCTGCCGGAGACCAAAGGAAAGCTGTTGACGCACTGATGACATCAACCTCGGGCCCAGCGGCCACGTCAGTTGGATGCTTTTGTTGGCGGTGTGGCCCATTGCATAAGCTGCGGGATCCAGCTTGGTCCCATGTCAAGAGTACTCACTCAATAATTTGTGGCACAATGGCGGCATCGGCTTATTCTGAACTCTTGAACTTAATTCAATTTGTGGGCATTGCGGTTTTCTTTCAGATTTCTGTTCATAGAAATTAAATTTAATAATTTAGTTGGGAGAAAGTCTCGGGTCTGTGATCTTGTGATTGATAAGCGCAAAGTTGTTAAATAAATAGGCTTCAGCTATGGCAAAATATAATTTGCATTAGATTTAAAAACTATCTTATCTTATTATCTAAAGCCAGTACTTTAAAAAGCATTTGCAATTAATTTTCGACTAAAAATATGTTGCATTTGGTTTATATTAGTTATATTGGTTATATTGGTTAACATATTAGTTAACAATACTTAACAGCATAGTTTATATTTAGAAATATTAACTCTTATTAACTAGAACACAACAAATAATTTACTTTTTCTAAGTTTTGAAGAGTTTGTTTACTATTTTTACTTACATAATGTTGTAATGGTTTGAAGACACATAAATTTATGTATCTGCACTTTCATCGAAACGCTTACTCATTTTTCCATATCGATTCCTGCTATCATACAGTTTTGTTGGCCACCTAAGTGGGCTATATTTCGCAGTGATACGGCGGCGGTGCAACAAGAAAATACTTTTTCTGAGATGCTTTCAAGCGATAAGTCCGCAATGCAAAATTAATGAACTCGCAAAAGCCTAGAAGATAAAGGCAGCCAAGGCAAAAAGCCAGGCAGCCGAAGCTCCAAAGAGCCAAACAATGACTCATAAATTCAACACAATAAAAATTATTTATTTTGCTTTTGCGAGGGGTACTTTTCAGACTCTGCAAATGCAGTTTCAGTGCAAATTAAGCGCCGCAAAGTGAGCGAGGAGAAAAGAAAATTTGATCTCTGTGACAGGACACACAAATCTCGCTCAGATCTCCAGAGACGATGCCAGCCCAAACAAAGCTGGAACTGCAGTCGAAAAACCCACAGAGCCACAATCTAATGCTCACATTTTGGGTGGGGGGAGTTTCTTATTTCGGGAGTCCATCCACAACCGCATCCACTTACCCGCAGACGTTGCATCAAAATGCAGTTTCATAATTTTCACACGTTTTTCTGTCACTCACTGGAAATGGGATCTAGTCGGCCTGCCGACAGGCGGAAATTTGTAACAACTCCAACTTAGCTGCACTTATTGCAGTTGGGCTAAGTGCAAATGTGGCGGCAGACCGCAATTAGCCGCTGCTGATTAAGTTGATAATCAACCTAGCTGATGGGATGGGTCAGCCCTGGATGAGTTGTCGGAAGTCGGTGGTATGGTAGTTATTTAATTACTTACAGTTCGAGATTAATCTAGTAGCACTTTGTATACGAATAAACATAAAAATAAAAAATAAATAATAATAAAAATAAAATAAAAATAATAAATAATAAAAATAAACATAAAAAATCAGTGTAGGGCAATCAATTTCTTAACAAAAATTTTATATTGTATTTTAAATATTTTTTATGAATAAATATTTTAAAATAAATATTATAACATTTCAAACACTTGTATGAATAACATTTGCCTGGTTATTTGTTCAAGAGGGATGCCAATGTGATCTTGCAAGTAATCACACTTAAGAACACATACACTACTACATACACTACCACATGCACTACTACATGCACTACTACATACACTACACATACACTACACTCACTGCTCGACCGGTAAGAAAGATTACTTGCAATATTTTGTGACTCTAAATTAGAAGACATGCCTTACAGTCTTCACTAGAACTAGTTGGGAATTATAGGGCTACAAGAAAATATGTTTCCTAAGCAAATATTAAAAGCGGCAATAACTATGTGTTCCGACAGTAAGTTAAACATTCTTCAGGCTTTATTTAAGACAATTTTTACTACTCACTTTAAAGACCTCACTATTTCACTCACTAATATAATTATGGCCAAATAATAGAGTACTTACAGCTCGAGATTAATTTAGTAGCACTTTGTATACGAATAAACATAAAAATATATATCCCTTTCAGAGTAGGGTAATTAATTTCTTAACAAGAATTTTATATTGTATTTTAAATATTTTTTATGAGTAAATATTTTAAAATAAATATTATAACATTTCAAAGACTTGTATGAATAACACCAAGGAGTACCTTAGTGTGTGGGCCGTGGAACTGTTGCAACCACTCCCGAATTGAAAGAGGCCGAAAAACTGGACAAACAATCGCGACTAATGCCAGCAATTGCTCATTGTTGCGATTACGAGCATTTGATTTGTGGCAACACGGATGCCAATTGTTTGGCTTTGATCGGCTGCAATGGCTGAAAGAAAGCCGGGTGGGCAATCCACAGCCATTGTCTGCCCTGCATGACTATTAACACGCAATTTTCCATCTGACCGAAATGTCATTTCTTGTTGTTGATCCACGGCAGCAACTCCAGTTTCGGCCTCCATAACTCACAATTAGCGCCGAGCGCCGAGTGCCACTCACCTAGTGATCTCCATTGATAACCAAACCGGGATGACAACGTCGCAATTGCGGGTGAAATTATTTCTCGATTTATTTATTGTGTTTTTGCAAATATTGAATTCACTATTGCTTGGCCGTTCAGTTTCTATTATGCGTCTTGGCAGTCCATTTGGTAATTGTGAAAAATTGGTTTTAATGTTTATATGCTCTAATTTTGTGAATGGAGGTTCGGGCTTACCGAATTCCGCATTTCTTTTGATCGCGAAACTTATACAATCGGTGGGCTTGAATGATTTGGTTCTTTTTCGGGGGGTTTGCATAATAGCAGATTCCGCAGTGCCCCTTCAAAAACTAAAATAGTTTCGACCAAAGTTGACTGAACTTTAGCAAAAATAAATATTTTAATATAAACACAAATGTCATTCGCATTTTAGACATAGAAATACGACGAAAATACTTAAATATTCATACACATTGGCTTACTTCCATAAAACCTGACCGGTCGTGTGAAAACTTTATGCTAAATACGGCGGCGAATGAAAACATATCTGATAGTATGGCTGTCAGCAGAAGCTATCTAAAAACCCTGAACACCTCACACTCATATATTAGCCATGATTAATTGAAAGGTCAGGTAGCGAGTGAAGTGCGTGAAGCTGAGCAGAGATAAATATTCGTATTATATTCAGATAACAAGATTTCAATTCTGAAGAGGTGCATTCGAATTACCATAATATCCATAAGGAATACAGGGTATACACAGGAAATGAATGTGGCTTTGTCAAAGAATCGGGAATTAAAATGCACCTTATAAATGGTTGAAAAATTACACAAATTCCGCAAAAAAAACATATTTAAGCTTACTGTCAGTGCAGCACTTATAAGGCATCTGCCAATAAAATAATTAATAAGGGTACCTGTGTCCCGCCAGCATCGTCTTCGGCATCTTTAGAAGATCATTAAATCAACCTCAGCCGGCGGTTGGCAAGACAAAGCCATCATTATTTCAGAAGTGCTGGCCTGGCCTTTAAACATGAATTATAAATTTATGTTAGAACATTAATTTAATGCCTCCGCCACTTGGAGGAAATTTCGCCACATCTAAGATTTATGAAATCCAACGAGACCTGTTGTAAAATTAGCCACGATCAGCAGCTTAAAGAATGGTCAAGTGTGAGGATCGGATCCGAGGGCAAAAACACCATTTGGCCAACACCATTTGGGTCCGACAAAGATGGGGAGACCTTTCTATTTTCTATAATGCTAATTTATGTTGGCCCGGACAGCATTATTGCTATAATTATAATGCAAGATCGTACAGCCACCATACACGTAGCCAAAAAAGAAAACCTATTAATTAGAAATGATCAGAAAGACGGGAAATGACGCAATTTGGCGGAATCGAAAATATTATATAACTTCTGACCCTGTAGGTTCGGACATCGCTTGTGGCTAATTCTTGTTGGCTAGGTAAGAATGAAGAAGAAGTATTTCCAAGTGCTAACTGGTTGATTATAACATTTTAACACCGTTCGTGGTGAAAGTAATTAACGAGAGTTAGCAGAAAGTGAGTTTTTGGAAGATTGTTGGTGGAAAGTGACTGGTTACTTTCAGCTATTCGAGATAAAGGCAAAAGCAAGAGTTGCGAGTATCGTTACAAGGCACAAGAACGGTTCTCGTAGAAGGCCTATTGGCATCGTTGTCATGGACTGAAGCAATTATGTTGAGCTCGCTAGTGGCGTTGCAAGTGTGCCTGCCGTCGACGGTGGCAAGTTGTTGTAAATGCAGTTATAAAACAAACACAAATGACATTATTCGCACGAAGACAGGACGGCAACTTGGCCGAGCTGCCGTTGCAGCTGTTGCAGCACGACTTTCTTTGGGTCTTCGCAGCAACTGCCACAACTGCAACTGCAGCAACTGCAGCAACGGCAACAATCAATTCGACAGCAACGCCGACGACATTTGCTCAGGCTCAGGCGCCTTTGTTGCGCTTCAGCTCCAACTTCCGGAAATCACGCTGCTTGTGGTAATAATGTTTTGGCTTTTCTCGGCTCGGCTTTCAGCCTTTTTACCTACGCTTTTGGCCAAGGAATGGGTCAGGTCGGATAGGTAAAGGAAATGTGCACGCGAGCAAAATTACAAAATGCGCACAGTTACCGTAAAGTTGTTAAATTTTTTCAATTATGCAAAAATAAAATTTTAACACAATCTTTTGCTGGCGGTGGGTGAAATGAAGACATGAAGGCAAAGGCACGAAGTCGAGAGCCGAAACTAGTTGCTAGTTGCTACAATCCATCGAAATGGGTTATGAAACTGGGCAGGCATTCACCTCCTCTAAAGGGCCAAGCTTTGCAGCAGTTGAAAGGCAACGGGGAAGTCCAGATTACTGGCCACATCTAGAAAAGAAAATGTTTCTGACATAGTTCATACAATTAAAAACTCATAGCAGCCACCCAGCGTTTGCTGCCGAGTACATCATCACCTTTGAATTATTTTTTTTCACAAAGAATTAGTAACAATGATAAATAATATTCAAGCCACCTGCTTTCCTATCATAAAATAAAAGCTTAGCCAATTATACGAAAATGTCCAATCATCTCTGGCCAGCAAACACTCGTATCTTACTTAATGATTCAGCAAATAAAGAAGCCCAGAATTGTGCAGATGGCTTTACCCTAAATTGGGTGAGAGACTTTTCTGAATATAGCAAAATAACATAGAAAAACTAATACGAATTTAATTGATCGTCGACTACCGAAAACCCCCTAAAGTGCCCCATACGCCAAATTGACACCTTGATTCTCTGCAGACCTGGCCGCTCCCAGTAGGTGGCTGATGTCAGACAATCGTTTGGCCCTTCCTCGGCACTTAATTCGCGTCGTAGAGCCGCGCACTGCAATTTCAAAAAAAATTCTTTTGATTTATTTGTACGAACGAGCTAGAAGAGCAACCGAAATGGCCTTCTCAAGTGGCAATCAATTCCGGCCGAGCTGCGCGACTCCAGAGCCGGGTATTCACAACCCGGGGGCATGGAACACTCTGCACGTGTTGACTCCCAGTTGAAGCCGATGATTTAGCTCGCCTCGTTACCTCAACGCCATTTGACCCCGCAGCAATTGTGGTAGCCACGACTCGTCGGCGGTCTAGCAGACTGGCACTCGGTAGCAGTGATGGCAAAGGTACTAAGCTTAGACCAGGGTACTACAAGAAATTACAACTAAAATGCAAATTAATGAAGAAATCTTATTTTGATTGATTGTCGCCTCAATATTAAAAATATATGGAAATATATACAATATAAATATCTATTTTGTAAGCCAGATTTTATAGAGACAGTTGCAACTAGCACAGGTCTCCATTATATATTTTAAATTAGTAAGCATGGATGGGTGACTTGAAGTTGTTTTATTTATTTAGCTTTTATTGTGACCAACTACAAGGTCGTAACCCTTGTCTGTAACCCATGTCCGCACACCACCATAATATATGGTTCTTTGGCAATGCAAAATATTGGTCTGTTTTATCTTTTAGAAGGACTTACCAATATTAGTGTCAGCCTCTTCGCATCACTGTTCCTCAGCCGGCAGTTGGGAGTCGAGGGCCTTTTCATTTCATTGGTTATCAGAAAAGCAGCGATCGAAGCAATATGTTTTCTATATGCCTCATTTCTGCACAAATCGCTTGACCTTAAGCGTTGCTGTAATTTATTTGTCGTTGTCGCAATTTCCCACACACAACTCGACCCGACGATTTTCCCGCTCGGGTTTTGTTTCATTTTCTCTAGAAGCTAGCTGCAAACTGTATTACGTTGGCTTTAGCAGTTTAGCTTTGTATTTTGGAGTTTATTTTTCTCCTTTTGGGCCTAGGTTCAGTCGGTTAGTGAGGTTGCATTTGTAGGTTATTGTGCCTGCCCTGGCATCTGGAGGTTATGTAATGTCTCCGCTGCCATTGTTGTGTTCGCCCGAGCTTTTGGTTTTCCTCCGCTCCAGGGTGAGGTGGCCTTATCAGTTGCGGAGCGTCAAACAGTGGGGGCATTTGCAATTTACAACTCTGATTGTATAACTGAGCATTTGCAGTTACCTTTTAATTGATTTTAGCCAGCTGATTGAAAGCGTTTTGCGCAAATCGAATATATTTGCTTTACTTGTGGACGAAGTTCTGCAATTTGACTTCCTGAAGTCAAGCAAAATTCACGATATTAGTATCCTCTCGTATTTAGAAATAAGCAAGTAGTAAATAACCGACGGACCGTTTATGTAACAGTATACTATGCCTTTACCTTTTTAGTGTCTATATAATCAAATTAAAGCCTCAATTTCCCTAACATGCATGGCCGCACAGTCGACTGCATCATGTATAACACTTCCTGACTAATGAACTTCCAGGCCCGGCAGTTTGGCACGGATTCGGTTCCAGTTTTGGGGGAGACATCTTCATTAGGCACAGAGTGATACCTACAGTCCGAAGGTTCGGATGGGGGCCAAGGTAGTGAGGGAAAAGCTGCCCGAGGTGTGAAAATCGGAAAATGCGCTAAAGAGTCTTCCATTCGACTCTCCTTGGCTGCCTTGCATTTCGCTGAGGCCGCCCATTTAAGTGTCCAATAATTCAATCACATCAAACGTCATGTTGATTGCCGTTAAAGAGTTTCAATTACACCAATTTCCATAGACGTTGGGAAAGTTGGGCTTATCGCGAGGAATGCAGGGAAGACAACAAAGATGGAAAAGTAAAGACGGCTTTTCAAGCAAGTAGGCGAGGTATTTCCAGTCTAGTCCAAATCAACCGAGGATAGCCCATATCATTGTATTCTACATTGTCGGTTGAGTAGCAAACACTGTTAGGAATTCAAAATTTGTATGTAAAAATACAAAGTAAACAAATTTGGCACTTTAAAATTTTTTTCTAATGGATATTTCCAAGGCCGAGAGTCAAACGCCTGTCGGAGAGCGTCGATCTGCGAATCCTGATTATATGAGAACCCTGCTGCAGGACATCCTGTGTTTCTTGGTCCTGCTATCGGTGGCCCTACTAATTGTGGCTGGCATTCTGTTTGTGGTGGAGGACGTAAGCCGCCTCCAGCAACAGCACCAGCACCAGCAGTACCACCACTACCATCATCGCCACATGCGTCCGGATCAGAAAGCCAATGACTTAAAAGGATCACCGATCGAGGAGGCACCGAAAGAGCAAGGTCAAGTCTTCCCACCACCCACATGGCTTCGATTCTTCAACTGCAAGAATAAGGTACCTCAGCAGCCACAGGAAGTTGAAAGGGAAGCGGTACAGTTTGGCCCACCAAAGCAGGACGATCGGCAGCAGCAGATCCCGTTAGATGCAGCTCCAACTTATCCATCTTATCCAACTTTGCCGCTGCGCGCTGGAGGAGACTACATGGATGAAGCTATCAACAAAAGACTGGATTCGGAACCCCAGCATTTATTGGCCAGTAAGAGCCGAATAATTTCGTATTAATCGCAATAATAATTCGGTGCTATTCTAGATAACATAAGGACCTAAAGAAATGTCTTAAATGCTGTTAAATGTTCAAATTTACCCCTTTAAAGCTGCAGACTTTGAAAGCCAACGGGAGCCGAGCCGAATATTTCCGCGGAATAGCTGAATTGTGCTATAAATAAAAGAACAGCTCAATTAATTTGTATGTTGGTCATAACGGGTTAAATTCAAGTAGAACAAGATCTACGCCAAGAGATCGCCCTTTTAACTGGATTGTTTCATAGGTCATGCATAACTAATGGAACCTCTGTATATGACATTTTACTGGCTAGTTCCCACCCAAGCCTATTTGAACACTCCAAATTGTAATGGAATATATTTCACACAGTTAAATAGACACTTCCTTATATCAAAACCTATGGTAAAGACGGTACTTCGAGCTTGTTAATGATTTCAAGTATGCCAGTCGCGGAACCTTTCAGTTATTTGCGAGAACTTTTAACTGATTCACGACTCTTCAATGGCACACCGAATTCTGGTCCCCAGTCATAACGAGCCACCAACGACTATCTGGGATCTCACAAATTGTAGATCGACGTAGAAGTGTTGGCTCGATAGGCATCTCGGAGATGCAAAGGCAAAACAAAGCCCGAACCAAACGCAAAACAAAGCCGCAGACAGAAGCTGCGCATGCCCATGATGGGTTAATTGAGGTATTGAAAGAGGCGCAGACGCGACGGCAGACCAAACCAAATGAAATGAAGTGCCTAATGTTTGCATTATCGCATTCCAAGTGAACAATTGCTGTGACTTCTCGAAGGGCAAGTCCGTGGAATGGGTGTGGATTGGGCCGGAATCCATGCCCGGGGTCGTTGGAGGTCGGGCCATGTTCTAGACAACATGGCTGATAAGTGCAGCTGTATAATTGCCGGGAAGATAAGGTTGGAACATTTGCATAGAACAGTAACTGGTTAGGTAAACAATTGCATGCACAGCTAAATAAAAGAATATATTTTTGGGTATTTGCTTTGCCATTGGCATATGGGCGTTGGGTCTTTTATCTTTTATAATAAAATTTAATTAAAATAATCGGTTCTTATTCAACTAAGCCCCGGCAAAACTCTCACAGCGAACTCCTGAGATATCCATATTTATAGAGAGTGATTTCAAAACACTTTTGGGCCAGAGACTCCGAGAATAAAAGGCTTAGAGCTGAAGCCCTAATGGCGGCACAACACGAACGGAACGTGCAACTCTGGGTCTCCGAGCAACTGGCAGATGTTCTTATCTACGATTTGCTGAATATTTATGAAGCTTTGTTAATTAGGCAGATGACTAGGCCAAGACAAAGTGACACTATTACAATATGCATGCCAGCCAATTTGCAGTTCGGCCAAAAGTCTTCCGACGATGGGAAAGTTCCGCCGAGATTCGGCTAAACGTGTTCTGCGCCTAGAACCGAAACAAGTTTGTTGTCCAAGTCTTTTGTATTTAATATCTCGCTTGCGTGTTTGATATTTTCATTTACTCCTATAAATTGCAAAATTTTGAATGACTTAAGGGGTGTTTATTTAGCGATGTTTTTGTTTAGCCATCTATTGTCCCGTGCTGGGTTCTGCCAGTGACACAGATTTATTTATAACTTTTTTTCTGTTAGCTACTGAAGCCGGTTTCTGGGCTGAAGAAATGGAATAGTCTACTAAAGAGTTAGACCTGTTGGTTGATATTATTCTGCAGGTGATATAATCCCCAAATTGGCCCCTACTTTGATGTCTTCTAGAAGACATGACTTCTAGTCAACCCAATTCATTTGAAAGATTTATTTGGAGCATGCCCAATTTAATTACGTAGATTAAAGATAATTGTTAGGACCAAACATAATTTCTTACAGTTAACTAGGCCCCATTCCCTATTTAGGCCCCATGCTGGGCCTCCTGAACAAGGAAACCTAAACGCACCCATTGACCACGAACAAAAGACAAAACCGTCTGCCCTATACAAATCACCAATTGCAGAGAAATGTATAAATGGATGGATAGTCGGTTGAAATCGATGCTAACGGTTACATGTGTACTCGACTTTGCACTCTCTCCGCGCTGCTTTCCTTGGTATGACTCGCTGGCAATTAAATAAAACATGCCGCATCAGTTGAAGTCGAGTTTTGCAATAGATACCCTACCCCTGTTGCCTTCCCGAATTCAGCTTATATAACCATATGTAAATTATTCCAGCAAATGAAGAAGAAATATGGCTGGGATCATGCGCTTTAGAGAAACACACCTTAAAAACGAGCTCCCAAAAAAAGGGAACTGCCAGCCAGGTCCGGGCTACTGTCCATCTCAGGCCAAGTCAAATGCAGAGGAGTTGGTCCCGGACCCCAAAAACGAAGACCATGCCCAACAATAGCTGGACTGCAATTGAAGCGCAGCCATTGACAAGATAATTTCCTGGGGGTGCTGCATGCACTGCAGTAAATCCTACATTTATACCCTCGGTAAGGGCATAAGCCCATCAGTACTGCCTTCTAAAAATCTAACTTTATGTGGTAGTTAATAAAGGTTACGTTCTAACAAAAATGATTACTAGCAATAAGATACTGGAGATGAGGTAAAAGGTAAGGAACTCGAGAATTATTACTATGATCGCTCTAAAAACGCAATTAAGTGGCAGCGGCTCTATAATTATTAGAAATATTATGTTTTTTTAATTCTCATGAGTAAGGGTAACTCCGTTTCGTCACGATCATTTTCATTTATATGTTTCCTTCCTCCTCCCAGCAGTTCGTCTTCGTTTTACAAATTGAACAAAGCAAGAAAAAGGAAAGAAAAACTTTGGCCACGATTCAGCCGGCAGAAACGAACAGAAATTGGCTAGTTTCGCAGACCGCGTTAAGTTGACTGACTACCAATTGTTGTTGCCACGATGCCTGGGCTACTATGCGAATAATTTCAAACACAAACTGCCGCCAACAGCCAAGAAGGTTCATAATTATTGGACGCCGGAGCGGCCGCTGCTGGGTTGTGGCTTCTTGAAATGTTGCAACTTGCTACCGTTTGAACGATGGCTACAGGAACTGAACAGCCACATCGTCGTTTTGGGGCAAGAGTGCAAAGTGACGGGTTAAATAGGATTTGACTACTTGAAAACAGTCCGAGGAGCTTGGGCAATTGTTTCCTTTCGTTTATGAAGATTTACTACGCTCAAATTAGCCATTTGTTGGGCTCAATCGCGTAGCTGACACTGGAGTGGGTCATGTGAAACAGTGACCAGACTCCAAACTAAAAGATACCTTTCAATGATAACAAACCACCAAAAAGCAAAAGATTGATGTAATTGACAGACCAGAAGAAACCCCCATAACGAATTGACCTAATTGATTGATTTTGAGTATAATTATTCTCATTGCCCGTTGGGATTAATTGATTTTGGCTCTGGGTATTTCCGAGAATATGTGATTTATTATGTCGATTATGCGTTGGCCTTTAATGGATATGTTTTTAATTATTTAATTGTGCCTGATACAGACCAGAAATAAAGCAGAAATTACTACGAATTCAAAGAATATCCGCGTGATGCCTTATTGTAAGATATCTTATCTATACATTTTTTTTAGCTTCGTTATTTGCACAACAAGTTCACCACAAAGCACCAACTATTCAAAATATTTGTACACTACGGAAAAGTCGAAAGTTGACCACAAAATTAACTCTTAAGGGCAGCCACCAAGTACCGTCTCCATCTCCATCACCTTCGCCTGGGCCAAGCGCTACCAAGACCCAATTTGTCTGGCTTTTCGGGGGGAACAATGACAATAACCGCATCGTGAATATGCTCGAGTGTGTGGATATGAATAAACATGGTGGCCCGCGAGTAATGTGAGACTTGCATAACCTCATTTGGCGGCTTATAGGCTCGCGTGCTCCCGTGCCTGGCTTATATATTTTTTGAAGTCGGCGTGATATCGTGTACGCAGATATAACAGTGCAGATAGATGGGAGGGTAGTCGGGTAGTCCGCAAGTGTACTGCGGATCGGAATGGAAGCGTGCGCGCTTCTCTAAGACAGACAAATGATGGGCCATAACCGATCCAGCCAGCCCATCCAGTCAACTTCATTTTGGTGGAGTGGTTTTATCCGTTGACTGCTGAGCGAGTAAACTTTTATGACAACCACTGACCTTTTTGGGAAAAAGACGACAGGAAATCGCAGTGGAGTGGCCAGGAAATGATTAATGGCTCTATTGATGCATTCAGAGGCCGTCCGAAATATGCCTAACGAATGCGGATTAATCTAAAGAAGGCTGTCTGCATCGTATTCAAAACTGAAGGTTTATCCACAGTATTCACACCTTGCACAACCCACAAATCAAACTGGGAAAACTCCCAAATTATAAGATGAGGCAATTCTTCCCCGGAATTATTACAACGGCCACTGAAAATGCAGGGCGTCGACAAAAGCCAAAAGTTGAACCAATCCAGCTTGGTTCAATCCAAGATCCCACAAAGTAAGCACCGTTTGCTGCAATTATGGATCAATTATATGAAGTTGACTACTGGGAAGCAGCGCCTCAATTTTTGGAATTTCGCCAATGCAAGCCTCACGATTTTTTATTTTTTGGAAGCCACCAATTGTTTGCAATTCGAATTGTTTTTTAACGTACAGAATTTAAGTTACTGCAAATTTTAGACAGCTGCAAAACGAACTAAACCCAACTAAACATTCACATTTCATCCCGCTTGGCCAGCTCCTCCACGAGCTTAGCGCTTTGTGCCTTGATTTGTTTGCGGTTGGGCACATTGGCCATGGTCTTGTTCTCCTGCAGGATGTCATCCTCGGGAGCGTTTGGCGCCTGCTCCTCATTATCCACCGGCTCGTACAAATCTAGGCTGGCCAAGAAGTCGGCATGGTATTCCTCGACATTTCGTTTGATGGTCGCCGGCTTGAGCTCAACTGCATAGGCCTTCATCAGCTTGTAGATCTTACGCTTCACCATATGCATTATGTTATCAACTGTGGACAAAGTGAGTTAGTTAGAATAATGACTACTGTTTAATGGTAGATATCGGCTCAACTGTTCTCCTCGAAAATCTCTGGGGCAGCGGCCCTCATGTTCAGCATTTCGAATTTAAGCAATGGGAGCTTCAAGTACGAGTTTGGATACTGGGCACGCAGTAATTTGGGTTGGCGATCAATGTGGCGAAGAATCTCCAAAAGATTCCAGATGCTTACTCTGAAATCGACATGATAACATTATTTTTAAAAACCTGGACAAATGCCTGCATATTTTGTAAGAAGCAAATAATATAGTTACCTTAACATAACATATGCATCAGCTCTATTCTTAAGATGTTGCAAAGTATCTTGTTCAAATTGGGTGTCATTTGTAAGTGTTTTCTTTAAGTCCTTAATGCGCTCCAAGCGACTAAAAACAAGCAAACATAAGAAAATTGTTATTAAAGGAGTTATTTACCTACTTAATCTCTTCCTCTGAGAGATTGTTGATAAGGACCCCTTTTAGGACACTGGCGCATTTCATCTTGGTTTCCAGCATTTCATGAGCCAGCATGTCATTTACAATCATACGATGTAGCTTGTCGTTGTTGTCCACCTGGCTCTTCATTCTGGAATGGGCATCTTTATTAGGCATTCTTAAATAAGTGCACTTTAATTACGCACCGTGGATAAATTTCCTTAGCCTGCGAACAGAGTGTTACAAACTTGACCTCCTTGATAGTCTTTTCCACAGCCTTGAGCTCCAGTTTTAGGATCATCATGCTCTGAGTTTCGCGAACATAGCGCTTCAGATTCGTTGTAGGAGGCGCCTCCTTGGGTTTGTTAAAATTAACAATAGATGTACCTGCCGGTTTCTTCAAGGCAGACAGCATTTGCAATTTGTGCTGCAGGTTTTTGCGGGATTTCTCCTCCATGTGTCGGAACTCATCGTTCAACTCCTTGAACTTCGCGATGGCCGGCATACCCAGGAACAGGATATGTTTGATAAAGTTAGATTGATCGTCCATGTCGCTGCTAAGGGAGCGCAAGATGGGTTCATAAAAGATCTCGTCATGAACGAGCACCTGTATCATCTTTTTATAAGTATTGTTGATGGTCTTGATCGCCTTTAGGCGCACATTCGAATTTTCAATCTTCTTTAGAAAAACCCGTGACTTGAGCTCCTCGTCGAGAATAAATTCGTTCTGGTACTTGATGCGATTCTGCAACAGGGCCCTTCGCAGCTACCAAACAAAAGTGGAGGTAACAATTAAAAGCGCAATTTGCAAGTAAAAAAAAATGTTATAGCTTAATCATACAAACCAGCTGTTCCTTGTAATGCTGCTTTAACTGATCCAAGCGAAACTCCAAACGATCCCGTTCCTTTCTCATCACAAAGGTCCGCTGGTTGATGTTGTCCACCACCAAATGAATTGGCATCTTCTGGTAGAGCCTCTGCAGCGGCTTATGGTTGATGAGAAAGTTGCGGATCTTATGGGTATTGTCGTTGACCAGAATATTCTGCAGTTTTGTGCGACCATCTCGACATTGCAGCTTTAGGCGCTTGTTCTCTCGAAAATACCGCTGGCGATTGGCCTTCGACTCATGGTTCTTGAACACCAAGCGCCGCGCTGTTCATTATGGATTATTAAAGGAGCTAGATGCAAACACGAACGATATATATTACTCAACAAGTCGGTCATTCCCTTGAACTGCTCGGTCAGGGAGTTGGGTGTCCATCGCTCATCCACCATCACATGCTGATGGACGTACGACATGCCAAAGAATCCATGAAAGCGCAAGGAGCGCGGATGCACGGGCTTCGGGGCCAGGACATCCTTCTCGCGGTTCTTGTCCCGACGTGGTATATAGGCCATACCCCTCTGGCGCAAAGTACACGGCGGCATGATGAGTGGTTTCGGCTCCTGGGCACTTGGCTAAATTGTGATTTGATGGAGCTTATTGAACATTCGATTCTCGTGCGGATGTGATCACTTCAAGAAAACAATGTTTGACAGTATCATAGCCGCCGACTCCAAAGAATAATACAAAATAAACGAAACATATTTTGTTTTACACATTTATTTTGCACTAACATTTCATTTCTGTTTTGTTTTAGAGTTGGGTTTGCTTCAACATAATTTTTCATAATACACAATATATTTTACTCCTATTTAATGAGAATGTGTGCATATTACATACTCGAGTAGTTTGCCTTTCCATGAGATTGGATCGAATTGTAAGAATTCATTGCGACAAAAATGTCTTTTAATTTCTATGTGTTCTTATTCATTTTGAATAGGGTTCTTTTGAGAGAGAGTACACAAACTAATGGAAACATAGTAACAATTTGATTCAAACATAAATAGTTCTTAGTTGTAGATATTCTGCATTGCACGATCGATGGTTATCTACAAGATACATTCGATTTGGTAAGCCAACCCTCTAAGCGCGCTCCATTGCAAATTGTCGGCCAAATATATCTCACTACCTATTGATCCTTTATTAAGATTCCTTAGAATCATATACAAGTGGTCGCAATTTTCTAATAATTTTTGTTCTGCAAGTTCTAAACGCATGTGTCGTGTAGACAGTAAGTGTAGTTTTAAGTTAGTTATTCCTAAGTATGAGTATAGTTTAGCTCAAACACCAGCGTATATATATTGTCATAAAACATTTTTTTGTAATTTTTCAGTGTATAATTTTGCTAAATGTACATTGATTCGAGTTCGGGGCTTTACGTTTACATTAGCTTTAGCTTTAATGAAAATTCCATACATGATTGTTTGCTTCTAACGATTATTGCATTTGCGTTGTTGGTTGCCTACGAGAGTTGACCCACCTATTCCAATAGTAGGGCATGCTAAACCACACATCCTGGTCAACCTTCTTATTTGATTTCTCCACTAAATTGTTGCCTACTTTGGTGAGCAATAAAACTGCATTTTGGCTGGTGCAAAAATATAGCGTACTTTTCTGCTTATGTGATTAATTTTGAAGGGTAACAGCGAAAAGCTGACGGTATTGCTTATAGCTACTGCTATATAATCTTGAAGAATTAATGGCCTTGGCGGAACAACTCCCATTAATGGGAGTATAAAAGCGACTGAATTTAAAGTATTTGGGATGGGATGTGGAGATAGTTGAAGAAACCTTTGAACCATCAAAAATTATTCACTGAAAGGGGTGGTGGGTTGGAGTTGATGAAAGATTTGGAAGTCAATTAATTTGTTTGATTTTGGCAATTAATTCCAGTGCAGCGCAAAATGAAAAAAATAATGCAAATGAATATTTCATATAATTTATATCAGTTTTATTTAAACATAGCTCAGCTTGTCGCGCTGCAGGAAAAGTTCCCCATTCACGTCTTATGCTTTATATACACATTCTTGAAATGAACTATGTACGTATATGATGTCAGTTTTCTATCGAATACTAGAAGCAATTAAATAAATTTCTAACGCAACGTATGCACTAAAGTATAACACATATTAAATAAACGTTGCGGTTTTTTCTAGAATTTAAACATATTATCAACACATTTTACATCAGAGTTGCTTGAATTTGTTGTTAAATAATACTTAATAATTACATATGTTTTATCATTCGCAAATTAAATTTGGACAAAATTGAAGCTAGTTTGGAATGCATTTACAAATATTTGCCGTTCAACAAATCATAAATTGCCTATCAAAACTTTAAAACGTATAATAGGTATTTAGTCACAAGAAATGACCACGAAATAACAGAAAAACATTGATAGACGGATTAAAATATTGCAAATTATTACGTTAAGCTGTGCAAGCACTTGGACTGCGTTCGAAAATATAATTTCTGAATCAGTTTCGAGTTCGATCTTTTTTCTGCTTTGAGACAGTTAACGTAGTTCCACTAGATAATTCAACGTGTGTTTAGTGATTGGCGTAGGACACAACTACAGGTTTTGTAAAGACTTATCTTAAGTTCATAGGTATATTTCACATAGGTTACTTTTCTTTAGCTATGGTTGGAAATTGTTTCGTTTTTGCTTTTACCTTCTCTTCAATCGTTTTAGCATAGTATATAAATTGGTGTATACATATAAATAGTCAAACTTATTTGTTTTCATTTAAATAGTAATAATATAAATATATATATATATATATATATGTATGTATATAGCATTTTTCGTGTTTGCTCAATGTTCAACATTATAATATAATTTTTTATCTGCTTTCGTTTCATTTGTGTTCGCTATTGCTGCTGCTTTTCCATAAACTTTATATATGTTTTCTGTAGCATTGTGTAAACAGGTTGATAATGCAATTTTAAGATCTGCGTTTTCACTTGCACGTCTATGTAATATATTTATTTAATATTTCATTACGCATTTGTGTCTGTGAGTGTGGTTTGATGTTTGCCGTCTATGAGGTTAGAGCGCTTAGACTGAGTGAGTGAGTGGGTTGCACGTATGAGCTCCTTAGGGACCGCTTATAACGCACCAAATGGGTCGAGTGGGACGCCTTTATTGCTGCCATTCTGCGTTGGCTGGATGGGTTGCATGATGCCTGTTGCATTACTGTGCGGCGCCGCCATCATCGTCGGTTGCACCCCAGTCAAAGGGGCTGCTGCCTGCCCCATCATACTTGGCTGTCCCATCACCGGCATTCCCTACAAGAGTCGTTAAAAAGGGTATTAAAAACGAACATAAAATGTCTATACAATTGAAATTCATGCACTGGAAAGGGAATACTTATAAACTGCTATGACAGACGCAATGCTACAAAATCAGTGGCAGGAAAAGAGTAGTCGTTTGGGCTTAATTGGAGGGGCCGCCGTGAGCTTGGAAAACAGTTGCTACATGGAATCGTACGGAAGGAGGTGAGCTCTACAGACAAGTGAAATAGTAACTCCATTAAAAACTGAATGTCTACTAAACTTAATAATTTAGATTTAAATAATAATTAAACAGATACGAATGCAAGATAGTAATGCAATTTAGTTCAGAGACGATAACCATAGAGGAGGGACATGTAATACACTGGTTACTGGTCACCAAGAGGGAATTGTTGACAGGTTTGTTTGAAAGTTAGAAGGAAGTTCTTGGCGTATAGGTCACATTTATACGTTATGGTGCTGGAGATGATAGAAATTCGATTGTTAAACATAATGGAAACAAACTAAATGGAAAACCAAAATAATATCTTTATTTAAGAAAAACGGCAACTCAGGGCAAAACCAAAATTATATTTATTTATAATTTTTCATTCTGTTTGAGTAATTTAATAGTTCATTTCGTTCGTTTCAGCATCATCTTACCTGCATATAATTTGGCATTACAGGATAACTAGCATGTATATACGGATGATTGATTGTGATTGGCGCAGGACTTACGGTCATGCCATGTGCCTACGTATTGCATATTGGTATATATAGGCATATTGATAGAATATATATTGATATATCACAAACACACATACACACACAGACAGCATTAGCACAGGCGCAGCGTGAGTTGTCATACGTGATTCGTTTGTTGTTGTTTGTTTGATTGGATTCAATATATATTTAGTTGTGATTCAATTTGATTCGGTTCGGTTAACGATTTTCGATTTTCGATTTTGCGGTATGCGTTGGGATAGTTGAGATATAAAGCAAACATAAAATAAAGAAAAGAAAGAAGTTGATAGTTTATATATACTCCGTCGAAATGCAAATTAAAAAATAAAATAAAAGTAATTCAAAACTATAAAATGCATATATGTGAATTGTCGTATTCGGCCTGCGTGTTTTGTGTGTGGAGGCTTAAACCCATCATCGAAGCCCTGCTCTTCAGGATGCCCTAGTGCTTATGATCTAGTGCTGTTTTGGTGTGGTTCTGTAGTACAAGGTGGGGTGTGTGGAAACTACGGCCAAGGTTATGTGTGTACAAAATAAAATCAAACTTACAACCCGCAGACTTGATTTGCGCTTTGATTCTGGTCATCCAATTTATATTTATGATATACGAAATTTAAAACACTTAGAAATTTAAGAGGACTGCCACGATGAAGAAATATTAAATATAATAATTTACTTTAAATCTTAACAAGACAATTTAAAGCAAGCTAAAAAATGTTCATACAGATCAAAAATGTACTTAAAACCAAGGAAACCAAGTAGCTCAAGTTGTAAATTTATACGGTTTGTGCAATTGGTAAAGAAACATTAATTTTGATAATGTAGTTCACATTAAAATAGGTAAAATAGTGTAGTTTACATGAAGTGTAGCCTAGTGTTGGGTGACACAAAATCGTTAGAAAATGATAGGAAAAAACAATGCATTAACTCAAGTAAAGAAATGTGTCATTTGTGTTCTTCTCTGGCATCGTTGTATTTCTTATTATTTTTTGTATCTGCTTCGGCACAAATTCTAGTGTATTCGAATTTTTGTTTCAGTCACTTATTTAATTTGAACAAATTCGAGGCAACGTAGATTCTTTCGAGTAGTATTGATTGTTTTTGAGTAGAGTAGTTCGGTAGACAGAAGAGTTAGAGTAGGCAAAACTCACCATTGGACGATAGCCAGCACCAGTAGTAGCCGCCATTGGTTGGGGTGTCCAATTAGCACCTGGTTTCGCTGTATTTTTAGGTGAATTCCATTGCACGGGTCTATGAGAATAATGGGGTAAGAGAGTAATGATATATAGACGACGTCAATGAACACGGCATTTGAATTTTGGGGTTTTTTTATCTAAATAGATTTCTGCGTGATTTCGAACCATTTTTTGGATGGATTTTATGTACACGTATGGAACATGAATATGGCTTTATGGTCGGGAGGGTCAGTGCGGAATGGTATTGGATTAGAGGATCATCAAAGGATCGGTTTCTTCGGAGGTGGAGCATGACTTATCAAGTAGATCTTTGATAGATCGAAAACGACACGATTCAGCCATCTACTGCGGATGAACTGGAAGGGATGTGACAACATGGATTCTGATCAACATTCTGGTTTGGCTTCGCTTTCGAACGCACGCACACACAATCGTCAGTTTACTGGC